TTAAACTACTTTGTCAGTGGCTGTGATCTCATGAAATGGGCCGTTTTTTTAAGGTATTTAAACAGATCAAATTAAAACACTCGGCTGCCATCTGCTGTTTTTAATCTGTGATAAGACATTCCTGCGAGTGTTTTAAATACTGACTGATTGTTTCACTTCAAATCGGCTGATACTGTATGAACAATTCATTTATAATTGCTTTTTTCCTAGCTTGCTTTTTGACAAGATAGCACGCCTATTTACATAACTATACAGCAACTCAATGTAAAAAGCTTTAAATTTTCATTAAACTGTCCAGAAAGATATTGTTTCTTTAGAAAAATCTAGATATTTATAAAGCTAAATACTTCTTTAATTGCGTATTAATTAAAATTATAATATAGCATTTGTATATTCTGAACGCTGATTGGCTAAGAGCCGTGTTGATATAACTCCATGTCAACACGGGAAATTTTCCGCCGCTTGTAACACGGAAATTGTTCTTATTCTTCGAGCTTTTGACATTGCTATATTATAAAACAAATATAAAACATTTTTTCCGTATTGATATATAGTTATATCAACACTCGTGGAAGTTGGGAAAACTCGAAATTGTGTGAAAACACTCCGCCCTTCGGGCGTCGTGTTTCCACACAATTTCTCGTTTTCCCAATTTCCACTCGTGTTGATATAACTGTATATCAACACGGAAAATGTTTTATATTTGTTAAATAAAAATAGACATAGTAAATCTAGGACATTCCCGGATCTCCCGCTCCCGCATTGTTTTTCCACTGATCTCTATTCCCAACTGAAGCGACGAGACAGTCCCTAGGTGGCGCCACTAGCATCAATAAACTTGAAACATAAAACAACTTAGTTTCTCACCAATTCTGTAGTAAGAGATGTAACATATCACGACTAACCACAAATAGGTGTGCATCATCGCCCTTAATTTCCTGTGACAAAAGTAGGAAAAAAAATAATAAGTACATTTTCATATATATAATTTTGGTGTTCCGGTGTTCTGTGTTCCGGAGTCATGTTCTTCTGTGTTCCTGGTTTTATTAATAGCCACCCCCAGTATACGTATATTATTTGATAACTTTTAACAAATCAAAAAAATTCGTGTTCCGGTGTTCCAGAGCCTGTTCAGGTGTTCCGCTGTTTCGTGTTCAAGTGTTCCAATGGCGAGGTTCCAATGTTCCTGGTTTTACTAATACCAGTTAATTTGTAACATTCCTCTATTAAAAATATGATAAGGTGGAAAAAATGCTTACAAAAAGAAAACTTGGAAAAAAGTGGGATCTCGGGATCCTGAGATTTCAACTGCCTTAGCCACAAGATTGAGGAACGTTTTGAATTTTTCACGCGTACTGCCAGGGAGAATTTTAAGAAATCATATTTAGTTATCTGCCATTTGAGTCTATTTTGAGATTGCGAAGTGTTCTTCATATCCTGTTAATAGAATTTGAAGATTGTTTTGTTTCCTCGGCAATTTTACAACCCATACAATTGAGGAACATTTGAAAAAGGCAAATTCAGGATCCGAAGAACATTGAACACTTTTTCCAGGTCTGCAAATAGTAGATTTATGTTAGTTTATCAAGATGTCGTTAAGTAATTTTAACACGCTCCAGAGAAAACTGTGATATTCTATTTACTTAAAAAAATGGACAAATATATCTCATGCGAGAAAAATGTTCACAAATTTCCACTCAAATAGTAGTAAAATTTACTCAAACTTTATATAGCCTATATTAATAGTCACTGCGAGTGCGTTATTCAACCGTTAAGTTTTAATTAAGTCAAAATTCTCAGAGATATTTTTCAGCGTAATAAAGATTGACGTTGATCATAGTCAAATTGTATCAAACCTAAAACACAAAAGCAAAGGAAATTTGCCGCATGCAGTGTAAAGTAAGTTTCATTCAATGGACAATGGTTAGACTATCGGAGTGAATTAAACCGGTCATATATGATCATTGTTACTCATTTGCGACTGATGGTATCCTAAATATTAAATCAAATAATGTTCCAGTATAATGGTTTAATTTAACACACTGGTAATCAATACATCCATTGCGGGCATCGGTAATAATTAAAATTTTATAAAAAATATTGACTTACCTGTATATTGAGAACGCGGTTGCGATTGTAGCAAACAGTAAATTAACAGAGGCTGTGTCGACTTTCTGAAATGTACAACTAACAGTACCGCAACAGCACTGTAGATTCTTGACTGATCTATTACTGTATTAGTGTTACGAAATGAAATAGAGATATCAATTTTGTACTCTCAACTCTTAAGCCTTCCTGTTTATGAAATGCATATACTGATATAGAACTCATTCAACAAACGACTGTGTTCAGTCATGCATGTTGAGTTGAACAATACAGTCAGCATAAATGAAATAGTTAAGCTAATACACTGCGTTTAAAATATTTTCATGATACGCTTCGCAGCGGCTTTTGGAGGCCGACAAAAGGTCCGGAATCAAGGATGGGTAATATGCAAATACAGTTGTAGTTCGCTACTGTAGCAAAGCCACAGAGTAAATACCATACGGAGGTCTCACTTCTTATTAATTTCAGCGTAACGGCACAGAATAATAATGGTAACGGATTTGTTCTTAGCAAGTGGCCTAAAGAGAGGCCGTCACCCCCTAAAAAACATATTGAAATTTAATGTTCCAGGGGGTGAATACCTCTCTTTAGGGCACTTGCTAAGAACATGGTCGCCAGATATGCGCTGTAAAAACTACCTTGGTTTTTCTCGCAAAGTGAGACCACTAGTATGGTTAGTAGTCTGTGACAGAGCTGCCAGGGTCTCACGGTTTACCCGTAATTCTTCAGGTTTTGGGGCCGAACTCCTGCGGCCACTTGTTCAAAGCTGGATTAGCGCTAACCCTGCAAGTCTGGTTATTTCAAAACTTCAGAGAACACAACTCCTACTGATACAGACAAGATAGGTTAGGGGCGGGGTTGGGGTCAGGTGTCAGCCTTGATACATAGTAATAGGGGTCACACAAACTATATACCGATACCTCAGTGACTAATACTCTGGCAAACACCGGCGAATTGCACGAAAATCAGTACATTTGGACCCAGTACACGTACCTCTAGGCACGCATATTTGTTCAAGTTTCTGCTTATTATGACTTTAGTTTTCGAAGAACACTCAATTGCCAGTGGCAGTGTTTTCAAATGTTGTAATACACTGGTAGTTATTTAACTTGTTTAATTTAATTACTGTAAATTATGGACATGGATTGTTGTGTTGCTGGCCTTGAGGGTAATGGTGATTTTGATATTAATAAATATTATAAGCAAACGGCTAAATTTAGTTAGAACTATACTAAATATAATTTTATCTCTGCGATTTTATCATAACGTTAGGAGGTAATGCGGCACTGTTGTTGATTCTAAGTTTTGCTATTGGCATATTAATGTCAGAATGGTCTATTGATTTCATATGAGAAGCGAAGGAGATAACTTAACAGTTTATTAAAGTTGTACTCAGTTTTAAGTTGTAAGCCTCCACAGAGGATTGCAGGCTTAGGGTTGGGGATTGCCTCCTCTTCCTAAGATAACCGCCATGTTTTTAATCATATGAACTTGGCAGCTCTGCTGTAGCGGATCAGGGCTGGGGTGCTGGAGCAGCGGTGCGGGGTAAGGAAGGGGGTAGTAGGGTAGGAGGAGCACCTGAAGGCTGCTCCATTTACTGTTCTAGAACATTTGGAACACTGTTCAGAAACGATATAAAATGGAGTGCACACGGTGTTCTGGAACAATGTTTAGTTATTATATATGCGTGCAACCATGCATTACTATATTCATTAGTTATTCGCGTAATAAATCGTATAATGATTTGCTGTTATTTGTATATCTAAGTATGATTTTACAACGTTTTTACTCATTGATTTTGCCCAACCCTAGCCATATGATAAATATATGTCGATATACAGCGATTTACCCTTCAAAATAACACTCAGTGCAGTGTGCATTGGATACACAAAATCTGTTACCTTCATTTCCAATCACGTGAAAATGGGCAGTGTCACATGTTCTGTTCTGGCTGCCCCAACTTGAAAATCGGGGTGGTCAGAATACTTCAGAACAGTCACGTGACTGTCTTCTGTTCCAGTTATACACTTTGAAAGTCGTGCGTTATTCACATAAAGTATAAGAGGATTCAATGAGACCAGTAACTATTTATTGTTCTTCACATGAATTAAAATTGAGCAATTCAAATTTGGATCTGAAATTCCTTTCAGAAACGTTACCAATGTTCAGGGAATCGCTACCGGGGGTGTGTGTGGTGTACCCCCCCCCCCCAATAATTTTTAGGTTGAAAAAATTGGTCCAATGGAAAATATTTGGTCAAAATAGTTGGTCACTTTTTAAACGAAATTAGAAAAGAATTGCTTTGGGGAAATTAAGAAAAAAAATTACGGAAAAGTTAAACAAATAAGGGTAAATAACTGTACATTAGATATTGGGAAAAGAAATATTAATCAGTGAGTTGAGTCAAAGAGTTCGCCAAAACTTGATCAAAATATCAGGCCACCCTCCCAAATGTTTGTGGCTAATGACTTCGTGACGTACCTGCCAATGTTTTCACCCTTATAAAAAAACGTCAAAGACAAAGCATTCCAAAATAATTGACAAGCTGACATGTTTTATATGCAACGCATTTTAGTCTTTAGCATCGTGCAACGATCAAATGCCTAAAATTTTGATCACAGGTAATCAAAATTGTGACGAATATTGCTGCCAGCAAAAATAAGGGCTCAGAAGTAAGTGCCATTCAATGATTTTTTCAAGAAATTACATATTGCAAGAAACTGTGCTTTTTATATCTCTCCAGATAAAGAGAGCTCCAGAGGCCGCGAAAGCATTTCGAAGGTGGAGGGGCATTGGTCCGTGACCCATGGAGAACACAGTTAAAAGAACAATATATCACAGCCTGCCGAAGATTATAGTCATATAATTCAAGGATATACAGTTATTAATCAATTTCAACCTCTACAAAATAATCTTGCAAGAAATTGCATAACAGTTTTCTTGAGTCTCTCATCTCTCCAGATATAGAAAGTGGAATTAAACGAACAATATATCAGCAGCAATATTTCGCTAAGCTCACGAAATGCTGACAAATCAGTGTTATATAAAGCAAAAGTTTTGAGTATCGCAGTTGGGACAACCACGACATCATACACAACTACCATGGTCAGTAAAGTCTTTACTACTTTCTTGTTGCGTTTCAATCTTTGGGATGATTCCAACTTGTTATCTCCAAGACGTTTGGAGTTTTTCCAAAGTATACATGCTATGCGAATGAAATAGTATATTTGTAGGATGTGTGCTATCACAATGTTAGTGAAATAAGCCACAGCTATTTCAAGTCGTTCAGGGTCTCTTAGCGAGAGATCGTCTACACATCGTGTCGTTCCTTCGATGTAGTATTGATTACTTCGTTTAATCCCATTCCATACTTCAGCACCAATACTGCAACAGGCGGAAATAAATAACACCAGATATATCTTCAATTTTTCATGTTTTGTTAGCTGCAGTGGATTGCTAATAGCTTCAAAGCGACTGCCCGCAAGAATTGTTAAAATCCAAATAGAAAATGCTTTACAGCCTTCCAGCAAGTTAGGTAAAACTTTACACATGATGGAACCCAAAAACCAAGAATTCACGGTGGTCGATGTTGTATAAACGATAAAATATAAGCAAGATTTTACAAAATCTACCAAACACAAGTTGATCATTAAATGATCACCGAGAGGCACAGGTGATTTCTTTGCTAAACTGACGATTAAAAATGTATTACATGAAAGAGCAGCGATCACCAGAAGAAATGATATCAGAGTGAAGAAGACGACTTGGACCAGAGTTAAATTTGGATTTGGAATAATAGAAAACAGGTTTTCACTCGTGGTGTTGCTGTGGTTGGAAAAATTCATCGCGAAGTAGTTTGCTCTGCTGGAACTTGATGCGCTATCCCTGACAAGCAGATGAGAAATACTTTACACATCCTCCTTCGTATTTTATTAAGACCACTGATCTTTTTAATAAAGCCGTTATTTATACAAGTTTATTGCAAACAAAATTTAGTTCATATGTAGTAATATTAATTTGCAGTATAAATTTTTAAAAAGTTTGTCAAAATACTCAATTCTGATTGGCTACGAGTAGTGCAATTGTATTGAAAGAGACTTTTTGTGTTATTAATGACCAAAGATTAACATTTTTTATTAAAAATGACGTTTCGGAGTTTACTCCATTATCCAAGGGCGCAACTTGAGTGTACGTATTAGCGGTGTGTGTATTCTTCTTGTTCGACAAAAGCGCGTGGTCACCAATCCATCTGCCATGAAATTCGTGAACTTTTCTATCGTTTCCTCAGAAGACTTCAATTGCTTTGCCCTACATACAGTCAAACACTAGGAAAAATTTGCCCGAGTATCATAGGTGCCACTAAAGGTGTCACTCTATAATAATAATATTGTATAGTCTTTTAACCTGATGATGGAGTAAGCTCCGAAATGTCGGTTTTAATAAAAAAAATGTCAAGCCTTGTTCTTGGTCATTAATAACACAAAAAAGTCTATTAATAAAATGAGGCCAAGAGAAAGTTCGATATTACATATATTGTAATAAAAGTATGTCAAAAAATAATTCGGTTTCGTATCGACGCCATAAAAGGAGAAGTCCTGTCCCGACCCATGCTACTTCGAAATCCATGGTATATTTATCGCCCATAAGGTGGACTCTTTTAGCAGATAAACTACGGTAGCTACTTTCATATCTATTCAGAGCATGATTCCAATGAGCGATATATATCTGGAGCAAAAACATTCGGCTTATGAGAAAAGTGAAGCGAATATGGCAGAAATTGACTTCCAAAAGCTATGAAGGCCGTAAACAGCTTTAATTATACGTCCATTTTCCCCAGCTAATTCCAGCTTTTTCTAACGGACCGCGTCACTAAACAAAGTTTTCGGTTCATAAAATCATAATATTAAATAGTCTTTAAACCGCAGTCAAAATACGAAATTTCGGCAAACTCCACGCAGTTCGTGTCCGACCACGGAGAAAAAACAATAGAAGGGGACTGGGTCGACGTCCAACAGCCCTTCCATTTCCGCCATCTTTGATTTCACTTTTTGAACTCGAGTTCTCGCTCCAGATATATATGGAGCTCCGTGGATGATTCATGTTTATACGCCACGCTTCCTAGCAACGCCTCTGTCAAAACTCAAAAAAACGAAAATTGAATTAATGAGCGTTGATGAATTTCAATATACAAATATAAATATGTACAATATACAGACTGACTATATCAATCATTCGTAAATCGTTGATCAAAAATAGAAAATTTTCGATTTTCTTCAAAAAATCTAAAATAAAATGGAATCGAAAATGAAATGTTGTACTCAATAGTTCCAATACGTTTAAATTTATTAATTTCTTTAAAACATTTTACTGTTGCCAAACGTGTATTTTATTAAATTTCTGCAAAATAATGTTCATCTTGTGCGTATTAAGTGAAGTATTAATATAGCTGAATTTTGTTTTCAATAAATATTTAGGAAACGGCTTTATTAAAATAATCGGTTGTTTTAATAAAACAGCGAGGATGAACAATGCAGCATTTCAGACCTGCTTGTCAGGGTTCTGCAGAGACAGGACTACTTCGCGATGAATCTCTCCAACCACAGTAACAGCACGGTTCAAAATTTGTTGTCAGTAATTCCATTCCAAATCCAAACATAAACCTCGTACAAGTCGTTTTCTTTATACACTCTTATCAATATTTCTGGAGATTGCTGCTCTTTTAAGTAACATATTTCTGATCATCAACTTCGTGAAGAAATCACCTGTGCCCCTCAGTAATCATTTAATGATCAACCTGTGTGCCGCCGATCTTGTAAAATCTTGCTTATATTTTATCATTTATACGACAGCTACTCCAACGGATTCTTGGCTTTTGGGTTCCATCATGTGTAAAGTTTTACCCAAATTGGTAGAAGCTATCAGGGGTTTAACAATTTTTGCAAGGAATCGTTATCACGCTATCAGCAAACCACTGAAGCTAGCCAAAAAAGATATATGCGGTATTATTTATCTTCTATCTGTTAATTTATGGAGGGACAGTACATGATGGATTATAACGAAACCGTGAATATTTCATTGAAGGTGCAACAAGATGTGTAGACAGTCCCTCACGATATATTATAGTGAGTCTATTTCATCTTTATCGTGATAGCATACATCCCACAAATATACTATTTCATTCGCATAGCATGCAATAGATAACAAGTTGGAATCGGCATCCCAAAGATTAAAACACAACAAGATAGTATAAAGATCATTCTGACCATGGTAGTTGTGTATGATGTCGTGGTTTTCCCAAGTGCGATACTCAAAACTCTTAGCAGCTTTATATAACACTGATTTGTCAGGATTTCGTTAGCTTAGCAGCATCTTGTTGTTGATTTTTATTGGTCGTTTAACTCCACTTTTTATATCTGGAGAGATGAGAGACTCAAGAAAACTGTTATGCAATTTCTTGCAAGATTATTTTGTAGAGGTTAAAATTGACTCTAGCCTTGATCCATGAAACTATATCACTCTAAGAACACTCTGGTTAACATTTTCCTGGTAGTAGAATTATATTTTAATTTAATTTAATTTAATTTAATTTAATTTAATTTAATTTAATTTAATAAGATTCGGCTGCTATTTAAATACAACATATAGAGCCAGGGAATTCGCCACAGGTTTCCCCAATTACGGCGATCCCATATAAACAAGAATAAAATTACTGTACAAAACAAATTTTCAAGCAACTCAACAAGCTAAAACTAATAAGGCTAACAACAGCTTATTTCATTGTTAAGCGATCTTGCTCTTTTGCACTTTACACACACTGATTTCCAGGTGCGCGGATCGTCACATTTGAATGTTTTGGATAGTGCATGTTTGTAGTAGAGTTTAAGACCTGATTTAAAAGACAGCAAACCTATATCTCTAGCACGCAAGTTACTATCTAATATGTTATATTGGTATGGGCTAATATCCGCCCTTGGATATCGGTTCTAAGAATATCGGTAAATTTTCATTACGGTGTATCACTGCAAAAATTGATATGAAACGCATGGAGGGGTACAAACATCCACCAATATAATGTATTTTATAGTACTTTTCTCACTTTTTAGGCATTCAAAATCAAGCCATATGTATCTTAATAATTTTGAGATGATCTTTTATTGGTAAAGTCAATTTCTTCATTTTGTCACTTTTTAACACTCTTTCATCAATCTCGGAATGGCGAACAAGTATATTGCCCTTTGCCCTAATGGCCATAGTAGGTGAACATGAAGGTTACTGTATGTCCCAATACTTCATGTACGAATAAGTTTCTCTTTGATCTTGAATCCAATCCTATCCATATAACCCTATTGTGCACAAAACATGAGGAAAAAAGGGCCAGACCATTTGACTTCTGATGGGGGGGGGGAGGGGCAGTTTGGGGTCAGGTGGATTCTCACTGGGGCAAGAGAGCAATAAACAGTACAGTCTTTTAGTAATAGTGATTGGATTGGACAGGCAGTCATTACATACATACATACCTTATAAAAATTGAAACTAAATCAATTTCACATACATTATGGAAGAATTCATTCAAAACCTAAAACAAATAGAATATCATTCACTATTATGTATTATTTACAGGGCTTTTTACTTGAGCTTGAAATGGCAGTAATGAAGTTCACATTTCCAGTCAATATTCAAATGAAAATAAGGCATGTTGCCATTGCCAATGAAGAGTGGCTATAACATTGGATTAGTGTATGTATGGGCTTTCAGGGATGAAAAATACTTCAGCAATATCTTAAGAGGCAGAGAGCTGTCGTTAAATTTAGGGACCGGTCATAAAGTAACTGCTAAGGTGGGATGGAGTGATTTGGGATGGGCCATGGAAAATCTTTGGGCAGTTTCGATAGGCCTCCAATTCTTCTGTATGTCCACGGTTGGGCCACCAATCCAAAACCCATGTCCATTTCAAAAAATAAAGATATTAATAACAAAAGTAAACAAAACTATCCAAATTATCAAATGCAAATGATGTATTGAAGCCCGTACTTTGTTTTATACAACAACAAGAAATGGTTGAATCGCAGCAAATACAACTAACTGGAGAGCAGCCCAGTATCGTAATTGGTGATGAATGTGTTAGTCAAGCTTGGTGGAATTATGTATGTCAATACAGTGTCGGTGTACTATATTTACAATGTTCATACCTGCACGTTTTTTATTATAAAAGTGTATTTTCCCAGTTTCGATTTGTCATGAAAAAAACTTTGTTTGATTAAATGGGCTTTGAAATTTTTATCTATATCCTAAGATGGGTCACCAACCTTATTGGCAAAATTTGTGATTTACCTCCAGCCCGCCCTAGCAGTTACTTTATGACCAGTCCCTTAGATACATGCTTATGATCATGCTAATATAAAGGCAGGGTACAAGCCACAGTCAAAACGACGAAGACACAAGACTCATAAACACGTAAAAACGCGCAAGCTGTTACAGAACTGCAAAGAAGTTGTAACAAGGCTGTTGTGAAGCCGATATCAAAATGTGTTCGCACTGCTTGTTCTCAGTTGCTGTGATAAGTCTGAAGCAAATTGTTATCACCTTGTTACAAGGTTGTTCCAACAAGACTAATCCAAGGTGTTCGTAACAAGTTGCTACGGGCTTAAGACGATATCAGACTTATTGGAACAACTTGTTGCGAGGAGTGTGTTGGCCCCATCAACAACTTGGATAACAACTTGTTCCAGACTTGTCAACAACTAAGAACAAGTAGTGCGAACACATCTTGTTGACAATCTGTGAGATTTTTACGCGCGCAGAGGGTGCACGTCCCCGGTGAAATCTAAACAACTTGCCATTTCCTGCATTTTGGGACGTGATTTTACAAAGTTCTGAAGATTACAAAACGTTCTATAAAATGCGCGAAAAATGGTACTTTTCTGCCTCACCAATTTAGAATCACTGAATCTTTTGTCACAATTTTGATATTCTGCAGTAGAGAAGATGAAAAGAATTATGTAGACATTAACAAAGGAGTACAAAGCGCAGTCCTTGGACCATTTTTATTTTCTTTAATGATAAATGATCTAACATGAGTCAAAAATCCTGATAATAATCTACTAGTCAAATTTGCAGAAGACATAACTGTTAGTGTCCCGGTTAAAGATAATTATGATTCTGCACCAGCTGAGGTGGATAATATTGAAAACTGGACAGAAACAAACAGAATGACATTAAATCTAGCTAAGACATGGGAAATGATTGTTAATGGCAAATCAGCAAATCCTCCACCAGCACCAATAGCAGGTATTGAACGTAAGACATGGCCAAAAATATTGGGAATTACACTCCAGAATGATCCGTCTTGTTGAAACATTCAAGTTAATAATTTGCTTCTAGAGCCAGTTGTCGTATGCACATTTTCAGAATATGTAGATCCTATGGCTACTGTAAGGACAATTAACAATTCTCTTCCACACGCTTATTATGTCTCTATTTTCTTATGGAAAGAAGTCCCTGGACCAGATTGATAAATTTCTTAGGCTAACACACCGATATGGATACACAACAAAAAGCGTTCAGATAATTGATGTGATTAAAGAAGGAGACATGAGTTTATTCGAGAAGATAATTACCCCAATCACCCTTTATACGAACTGCTTCCACCTAAAAGAGAAAGATCATTAAGAGAACGTAAGCATGATTATATTTTAATTACGGTTAAAACAGAAAGATTTATACGGTCGTTTTTAAAAAGGTGTCTTTTAACCATTTCAGTTAAATCTGAGTAATTAACTTAGATACATATTTTATTGTAATCTTGTATATAGTATTATATTATAGTTTTTCTTGTGAAGTCCCACGTCTGCTGAGGCTATATCTAATAAAGACTTACTATTAAGGTACAAAACTTTAAACACATGAATGAAAGATTGACTTATTGAAACAATTACTGTAAATCCATTCCCAGAATACCCACTATTACATTGAGAAACAAAAGAACCTTCGGTGTCAGTACAGCTGGCATTGACATGACATGGGTTGGTCAAACATTCATCAATGTCTAGAAAAAGCAATAGACAAAAATAAAAAGTGATTAGTGCAAAGGTACAAAACTTTAAATATATCAATGAAAGATTTACTTACTAAAACAATTAAATCGACCTCCAGAATGCTCACTAGTACATTGACAAACAAAAGAACCTTCGGTGTCAGTACAACTGGCATTGACATGACATGGGTTGGTCATCAAACATTCATCAATGTCTAGAAAAATAATAGAAATAACAAACAATAAGTAATTCGTAAACGGGTACAACACTTTATACATGAATGAAAGATTTACTTACTGGAACAATTAAATCCATTTCCAGAATACCCACTATTACATTGACAAACAAAAGAACCTTCAGTGTCAGTACAGCTGGCATTGACATGACATGGGTTAGTCGAACATTCATCAATGTCTAGAAAAAAATGGAAATAACAAAAAATAAGTGATTAGTAGTAAGGTACAAAACTTTAAACAGATAAATGAAGGATTTACTTACTAGAAAAATTAAATCCATTTCCAGAATACCCACTATTACAGTAACAAACAAAAGAATCTTCGCTTTTAGTACAGCTAGCATTGACATGACATGGGTTAGTCAACATTCACCATGCAATGTTTAGAAAAAAAACATAGAATAAACACATAATAAGCAATTATTAAAAAGGTACAAAACTTTAAACACATGAATGAAAGATTTACTTACTAGAACAAAGAAATCCATTTCCAGAATACCCACTAAAGATACTAAAATATTTTACTTTTAAGCTTTTAATTTGCTACAAAAACTAAACAGGATTCGTTTGCCCCAGCGCGTTGTATTGTACAAATTATGTTTAATCATTATCACTTATTTACTGAGACCGAGGGAAAAAGTGGATCCGAGACCGCCGTTGTCGCCGGAGGCGACACCGAGGGCAACAACTGCGGTCGAGGGGCCACAAAACGCACTGCTTTCCCGAGATACGGTCTCAGTAAATAAGTTTTTTTGGTATATAGTATATAAGTGTCAAAGTATGAATAATTCACCGATTATTGAAGTGAACTTTGAAACCAAAACTAGATAAATGGAACGCCGTAAATGGAACTTCACGGTTGACACGCATGCGCATTGTACCCATTTTATTATTGACTGGTCAATAATTGTTTTATTGACTGGTCAATAATTGTTTCATTGCGCACCGGTTGCCGAACATGACGTTTTGTGGACCGGCACGTGATATGGTTTTCACAAATCGGCAAACACAAAAATTGAACTTTGACACTAACTATATAACAATGAGCATTAATGACCTGGAATGTGTAGTAATAAATTACACTTATTGCATGCGCTTTTATTTTGATAAATTCAATCAAAGTTATATACAAACTATTATATTCTAATTCATTTTGTGTAACCTTATCATTCAGATTATTGGTAAGATCTGGCAGGGTCAAGGCAAGATCTTGCAGGACTTTTAGTAAGATCTTGCAGAATCTTTGCAAGATCTTGCAAGATTTTTGGTAAAATCTTGCACAATCATAGTAAGATCGCGCAGGATTTTTGGTAAGATATTGCAGGATCATGGCAAGATCTTGCGGAATTTCTGGTAAGATCTTCCAGGATCATGCCAAGAACTTGCGAGATTTTTTATAAGATCTTGCAGGATCATGGCAGGATCTTGCAGGTTCTTTGGTAAGATCTTACATGATATTGGCAAGATCTTGCAAGATCCTTCTATGATCTTGCAGGGTTTATGTAAGATCTTGAAAAGATCTTGCTTATATTTTGGGTACGATCTTGTCAAGATCTTGCTGGGATCTTGGCAAGATTGTCAACCTGGGAAATGTCTAGAAAAAAACATAGAAAAAAACAAATAATAAGCGATTAGCAAAAAGGTACAAAACTTTAAACACACGAATGAAAGATTTACTTACTAAAACAATTAAATCCATCTCCAAAATACCCACTATTACATTGACAAACAAAAGAACCTTCAATGTCAGTACAGCCGCCCCTGACATCACATGGGTTGGTCAAACACTCATCAATGTCTAGAAAAAATAATAAAAATAACAAACAGTAAATAATTACTGCAACGGTTCAAAATTGTAGACACACAAATGAAAGAGTTACTTACTAGAACAATTAAATCCATTTCCAGAATACCCAGCGTGACACTGACAAACAAAAGAACCTTCGTTGTCCATACAGCTGGCATTGACATGACATGGGTTGGTCAAACATTCATCAATGTCTACAAAAATAATAGAAATAACAAACAATAAGTAATTCGTAAACGGGTACAACACTTTATACATGAATGAAAGATTTACTTACTAGAACAATTAAATCCATTTCCAGAATACCCACTATTACATTGACAACCAAAAGAACCTTTTGTGTCAGTACAGCTGGCATTGACATGACATGGGTTGGTCAAACATTCATCAATGTCTAGAAAAATAAGAGAAATAACAGAAGATGATCAGAAGATAGGTAACAACATTAAACATACATGAATGAAATACTGACTTACTAGAACAATAAAATCCATTTCCAGAATACCCAGCGTGACACTGACAAACAAAAGAACTTTCGTTGTCTATACAGCTGCCATTGACATGACATGGGTTGGTCAAACATTCATCAATGTCTAAAACAAAAATAGAAACAAGAAACAATAAGAGATTAGTAATTTAGTATACAGGTACAAAACTTTAAACACACAAATGAAAGATTTACTTACTAGAACAATTAAATCCATTTCCAGAATACCCACTATTACATTGACAAACAAAAGAACCTTCTGTGTCAGTACAGCTGGCATTGACATGACATGGGTCGGTCAAACATTCATCAATGTCTAGAAAAAACAATAGAAATAATACAAGCAATAAGTGATTAGAAGACAGGTAGAAAACTTCATACATGAATAAAAGATTTACTTACTAGACATTGACTTACTAGACATTACTTACTTAATTGACAAACAAAAGAACCTTCGGTGTCAGTACAGGTGGAATTGACATGACATGGGTTGGTCAAACATTCATCAATGTCTAGAAAAATAATAAAAATAACAAACAATAAGTGATTAGTACACAGGTAGAAACGTTATACATGAACGATTGATTTACTTACTGGAACAACTAAATCCATTTCCAGAATACCCACTATTACATTGACAAACAAAAGAACCTTCGGTGTCAGTACAGCTGGCATTGACATGACATGGGTTGGTCAAACATTCATCAATATCTAGAGAAAATAATAAAAATAACAAACAATATACGATTACCGCAACATTCAAAATTGTAAACACATAAATGAAAGAGTTACTTACTAGAACAATTAAATCCATTTCCAAAATATCCAGCGTGACACTGACAAACAAAAGAACCTTCAGTGTCAGTACAGCTGGCATTGACATGACATGGGTTGGTCAAACACTCATCAATGTCTAGAAAAATAATAGAAATAACAAACAATAAGTGATTAATAGAAAGGTACAATATTTTAGATACCTAGATGAAATATTTACTTACTAGAACAATTAAATCCATTTCCAGGATACCCACTATTACACTGACAAACAAAAGAACCTTCTGTGTCAGTACAGCTGGCATTGACATGACATGGGTTGGTCAAACACTCATCAATGTCTAGAAAAATAATAGAAATAACAAACAATAAGTGATTAATAGAAAGGTACAATATTTTAGATACCTAGATGAAATATTTACTTACTAGAACAATTAAATCCATTTCCAGAATACCCACTATTACACTGACAAACAAAAGAACCTTCTGTGTCAGTACAGCTGGCATTGACATGACATGGGTTGGTCAAACATTCATCAATGTCTAAAAAAAACAATAGAAATAACAAACAATAAATGATAAGATTAGTATACAGGTACAAAACTTTAAACACACAAATGAAAGATTTACTTACTAGAACAATTAAATCCATTTCCAGAATACCCACTAATACATTGACAAACAAAAGAACCTCTGGTGTCCATACAGCTGGCATTGACATGACATGGGTTGGTCAAACACTCATCAATGTCTAGAAAAATAATAGAAATAACAAACAATAAGTGATTAATAGAAAGGTACAATATTTTAGATACATAGATGAAATATTTACTTACTAGAACAATTAAATCCATTTCCAGAATACCCACTAATACATTGACAAACAAAAGAACCTTCGGTGTCAGTACAGCTGGCATTGACATGACATGGGTCGGTCAAACATTCATCAATGTCTAGAAAAAACAATAGAAATAATACAAGCAATAAGTGATTAGAAGACAGGTAGAAAACTTCATACATGAATAAAAGATTTACTTACTAGACATTGACTTACTAGACATTACTTACTTAATTGACAAACAAAAGAACCTTCGGTGTCAGTACAGGTGGAATTGACATGGCATGGGTTGGTCAAACATTCATCAATGTCTAGAAAAATAATAAAAATAACAAACAATAAGTGATTAGTGGACAGGTGGAAACGTTATACATGAACGATTGATTTACTTACTGGAACAATTAAATCCATTTCCAGAATACCCACTATTACATTGACAAATAAAAGAACCTTCGGTGTCAGTACAGCTGGCATTGACATGACATGGGTTGGTCAAACATTCGTCAATATCTAGAGAAAATAATAAAAATAACAAACAATATACGATTACCGCAACATTCAAAATTGTAAACACATAAATGAAAGAGTTACTTACTAGAACAATTAAATCCATTTCCAAAATATCCAGCGTGACACTGACAAACAAAAGAACCTTCAGTGTCAGTACAGCTGGCATTGACATGACATGGGTTGGTCAAACACTCATCAATGTCTAGAAAAATAATAGAAATAACAAACAATAAGTGATTAATAGAAAGGTACAATATTTTAGATACCTAGATGAAATATTTACTTACTAGAACAATTAAATCCATTTCCAGAATACCCACTATTACATTGACAAACAAAAGAACCTTCTGTGTCAGTACAGCTGGCATTGACATGACATGGGTTGGTCAAACATTCATCAATGTCTAAAAAAAACAATAGAAATAACAAACAATAAATGATAAGATTAGTATACAGGTACAAAACTTTAAACACACAAATGAAAGATTTACTTACTAGAACAATTAAATCCATTTCCAGAATACCCACTAATACACTGACAAACAAAAGAACCTCTGTTGTCCATACAGCTGGCATTGACATGACATGGGTTGGTCAAACACTCATCAATGTCTAGAAAAATAATAGAAATAACAAACAATAAGTGATTAATAGAAAGGTACAATATTTTAGATACATAGATGAAATATTTACTTACTAGAACAATTAAATCCATTTCCAGAATACCCACTATTACATTGACAAACAAAAGAACCTTCGTTGTCCATACAACTGGCATTGACATGACATGGGTTGGTCAAACATTCATCAATGTCTAGAAAAAAACAATAGAAATAACAAACAATAAGTGATTAGTAGAAAGGCACAAAACTTTATGTATGAATGAAAGATTTACTTACTAGAACAATTAAACCCATTTCCAAAATACCCGCTATTACATTGACAAACAAAAGAACCTTCTGTGTCAGTACAGCTGGCATTGGCATGACATGGGTTTGTCATCAAACATTCATCAATGTCTAGGAAAAACAATAGAAATAACAAACAATAAGAGATTAGTATACAGGTACAAAACTTTAAACACACAAATGAAAGAGTTACTTACTAGAACAATTAAATCCATTTCCAGAATTGCCAGCGTGACACTGACAAACAAAAGAACCTTCGTTGTCCATACAGCTGGCATTGACATGACATGGGTTGGTCAAACATTCATCAATGTCTAGGAAAAATAATAGAAATAACAAACAATAAGTGATTAATGGAAAGGTACAATATTTTAGATACATAGATGAAATATTTACTTACTAGAACAATTAAATCCATTTCCAGAATACCCACTATTACATTGACAAACAAAAGAACCTTTGGTGTCAGAACAACTGCCATTGACATGACATGGGTTGGTCAAACATTCATCAATATCTAGAGAAAATAATAAAAATAACAAACAATATACGATTACCGCAACATTCGAAATTGTAAACACATAAATGAAAGAATTACTTACTCGAACAATTAAATCCATTTCCAAAATATCCAGCGTGACACTGACAAACAAAAGAACCTTCAGTGTCAGTACAGCTGGCATTGACATGACATGGGTTAGTCAAACATTCATCAATGTCTAGAAAAGTAATAAAAATAAGTAATTAATAAAAAGGCACAATATTTTAGACACAGAAACAAAATATTTACTTACTAGAACAATTAAATCCATTTCCAGAATACCCACTATTACATTTACAAACAAAAGAACCTTCACTGTCAGTACAACTGGCATTAATATGGCATGGGTTGGTCAAACATTCATCTATGTCTAGGAAATTAAAGATTACAATGAATTACATAATGAACAGGAAATACAAAAAAATGAAAAAGTTGTTGCTGAACTATAGTCAATCAAGAAGAATGGACTAGAAATGCCATTGCTTTGTGCGTTGCTATTTGTGATAAAAGCTGCACAGTCTGCAGTCACAATCATATTATGTTTTTAAAGGAAAAGCTGCACAACATTAAATTAACTATTGTTTCTTAGCATTGTTACTGAAAACATTGTTACTTGTAAACATAATAGATCATGAGTTATGTAGTTTTACTTAGTTTTTACTGGAAATTTCAACAACAATAATTCAACGGGTTTCCTAATTGTAAAACAGAAAAGTAGACAGCTACAACTTGTGTTTTCATTTCATAGACATATTGTTTGTGTTTAAAATATTTAATTTACAAATCAAAACACATCATTCCTCTCAAGTTACAAAGATTGTGTTGGGAAGGTTTAGCTCATACCACCAATGCCGTGAGTGACAACTTTTGCATTTGCATTTCCAGTCCATTCCCTTCTCCAAGAAAGCTAAATTCGAAAATATATTCCATACTTATCCATATCTGCCTAACCTGGTGTGTTGAACTGTATGTGTGAACTGACTTACTTGAGCAGTTAAATCCATCTCCAGAAAATCCAACGTTACACTGGCAGTCATAAGTACCAATTTTATTGATGCAAGTTGCATTGACATCACAAGAATTTGCTTCTAAGCATTCATTAACATCTAAAAACGAACATATAATGAATGTATAATGCCCCACCGCCAGCATCAGTACAACATTTAGCCTTTGCCATCATTAAAACTATGACTTTAATCAGTACCATAACCAAGATCATTATAAACACCACCATCACCGTTATTATCACCGTCAGAGTAATGGAGTTACTAAACATCTTCATCAACACCATAATCACCTTTATAATCATCATTGCTACCGTCGTCAATACTTAACCCCAACTCTTAGCTTACCAACAACAGGAGCTTCAAAAACTGGACTTGACTGACTCGTGGCTTCTTCCACACCTTCGCCATAGACAACACTAACATTCCAAGAATAAGTTTGATTCTCCACAACTGTAATATTCTCCACTATTTGATAACCAATTTCAGTTTCGTTGTTCCAGTTTGTATCTGCATATGAAAGCACACTACTGCCATTTTGTTGAATGTTTATTTTCTTCACACTAGCAAAGTTACATCTTGTTGCTTTCCACGTTACATTTGCATGTGATTCAGAAAGGTACTCCACAGATATAACAGTAGGCGGGTCAGGATCTAGGAATATTATAACGAAAAGATGCCAATTTTTAATGCCTGTTAAACATGTCGGCCGACATCACATAGTATAAGTGGTTTTCACTAAGTACATTACTAGTGTGCAGCAAATGGGCAGTATATTTCTGTTTGTGATGTTACTCAGAGTGTGTATCCACGCCGGGCAAGCTGAAAAGTTTGTCTGACCACGGTGGGAATCGAACCGTGGTCAGGCAAACTTTTCGGCTTACTCGGTGTGGATACACACTAAAAAGCATCACAAACATATTTACCTGAGTACATAACACCAACACACACAAAATGTATATTTCTAATTTTTTATCTAGTACATATAAGTAAAGACATTTAGTTGTATTTGGTGGCATATAAATGAACACATTTAGTTTGATTTCCTTGCCCCTACAATTTTCTTCACATCTAAATATCTATCACTATCTGCCGCCTCGTAATGCTCACTGACACCCAACTATACTGCAATCATGGCTGTTAGATGGTAGGTATATTGAAATTGGATTTTGCCTTCAGCAAGGTTATGATACCTACCAATCAGTGGTGTTCGCCCCTCTACATTGACTACATTTCTCATATTCTGATCTAAGATCACCAGACGGATAAGACCAGTGTCTGCACAAGTTAAGTTACGTCTCAGCTCCACCGTCCAATAAATGTCTTCGCTCAAGACTGGTAGATAATCTGTATAATTTCTCCAGTAGCTTTCGGGTTGATCCAATCGTTCAGCATATGTTTGTGGTTGGGGATAGCCGAGTAATAAAAACTTGATTGTTCTCAGACTACCATGGTGTACTTTTGAATTCAAATTCTTGGCTACATGTTCGGCAAGGATAGGTGCTGAAATAGACGTACACATATTTTATTCATATAGTGATCCTGGGAATACAAGACCTTAATAGGGGGATTCAAGGTTTCTGACGCCATAACGAAACACAATATTGCAACGGGTGCAAACACAATGGAATTCCCTATAGGTCAATTTGGAGGGGGTGCAAATACAGTCGTGAAAACAATAGATTCAAGATAGCCTCGGAAACCTTGAATCCCCCTATTAACCAGACTGTGTATGAGATGCATATTAATTTAAAAGTCCAAATATTTTAAAGATAATGGCACATAATTATACTTCGATCGTATCTCAATAGGATCTTTTAGAAAAACACTTCTAAGAAAGGCCTTTCACCAAGATAGTTAATGGCTCAAGACGCACTCCTTCAATAGTACTACTTCTGACGAGGGGCCTTTGATCAAAAGATCAATATGTTTTTTTTTAGCCTGACAAGAAGCATCTGATTCCAAGGTCGCTTGCATTCACACTGCGGCTAACACTGTATCACCAAGTTTAAATCCGATGTTAGTACGAGGACGTTTGAACAAAGGACCTTCACTCGTAACATTTGAGTACATTTTTCAGGTAGTTGATCCTTCTTCTTCGACCAACTCCTTGAGTATTAAATATAATGATTGTGGAGTTATAACTCTGGTAAATTATTTTAAATGCCACTCAGAGTATCTCCACATTAGGCAAGCTGAAAAATTGCTTCACCGCAGTGGGAATCGAACTTGCCAGTCATTTACTAGCATTGCTCTACCAACTGTGTCACAAGGTCAAGTCAGTTGAAGTGCTGCAGGTGATCTTTCGGAACTTAGTCTATTTCCTTCGATATCTGTAATACTGTATATATCTTATGATCTTAAATCTAATGATTGTGGTGTTAGGTTGTCACAACCAATAAATCAAAATCGAAGAGTGCAACGGAAATGAGACATTTTGTGGGGTAAAATGATTTGAGAATCGTCTCGTAGCAATCGTAGCAAGTGGTGAGCATTTGTCACATCTGCATATTTATAAAATTAAGTCATACAGCTCTTCCGGTAAAATTATTCAAATTAGGTAAACCCATCTTGCTGCTCGGCACAGTTATATTGTTCATTTGACTATCGGCATGGTATAGAAAGTAGTATAGGTGCATGTACAGTACCTTTTATACTGAGCGGCATTTCTACTTCTTGTAGCTTATTCCCAATATTCACTTCACAACTGTATACTCCACAATTACTATAATCAAAATAATCCAAAGTCAGAGAACCATACAAATATTCGTCTTCATTCCAGGATCTGATGTTATTGCCACTTAATGCTGAACGATTTCCAAATGTTCTCTTGGACCACGTAAAGTTTGATGATGTTTCTGCAGCTGAGGTCTGACATGTGAATGTAACTGATTCGTTCCTCTTGATTTGATGACCCACTAAAGTTATGCGTGCAGACAAGCTGGATGATGAAGTAGACTGAAAACTGATAGTTATGCTGTCTGTAAAAGAAAAATAATAGATGGTTTTTATTTAAAATGATCGATTATTTGATTACTCTAATAATCGATCAGTTTGATTTAGTTAAGTTGTCATTAAAGTTCCTTACATACCAGACACTGTAGCAAAGTAAGCCAGTGACGGTCGACTCCAAACTGGTTCAGTTCTACCATTATATGACACTTTAATGATCCACTCAGTGTAAGATTCATTAAAATCCTGTCCTTTTTCAACCAACGTAACACCGACACCAGTACTTTCATTATAACTGGTGATATTCAAAATGCTTTCTTTTAGAAGGTCTCCATTTCGTTTGAATACAGTAATAGAGATTTCCCTAGGATAACCCATGTTGCATTGACCTGCACTCCATGTTAGTTTTATCGTAGATTGTGACATGCCTGTTACTGAAGTAATTTGTGGAGGGTCGGGGTCTGTGAAAAAATAAGATCACCATAAATACGAAGGCATATCAAAATAATAGATAGTGATAATTTTCGAGGAAATTTTAGTAATGCACTTACCTGAAATAAGTAATGGACTTGGTAGTTCATACTGGAACTGTGAATAATCTTCCATCTCGAGGACAGCGCGATGAATTCCTGTGTTTGAACATTTGAACGAGTTGTACTGAGCTGTAACTTTCAAATAACCATCAATATCCACAAATCTTTGTCCTTCAATCGAGCTGAACTTTTTAGTTCGCCAATCAACGATTTGGAAGTCCCTATTATAGGTTGGTAAACCCTGCAGGATAATTTCTGCCTTGAATGTTGAGTTGTATGGAGTGGTATAGTTTTCCGGCATTATTGATGTCGTTATAAGAATCACAGGTGCTAAAATGATAGAGAAAGTATGGGTGAGAATAGTGATCGGGGTAGTCCTTCGCAGGACTTTCACAATAAGCCGGCGGCCGCTAGGGCTCCGGCAGGTGTCACAAGGTTCACCGCCGGTTACTTTGTTTAGCACTTCAATTATCAATTCTGCTCTCCTTCCTCCATTCTAAGCTTTCAAACAAAGTTATATTTCCTCAACTTCGTCTATACTTTATAGCCAGGTTATTTTCGAAAACAACGTAACTATTTTGTAAAACCGATTTAGTTATTTTCCATCTTAAATCTTGAAGTTACCTTGTTGAAGAATGAAAATAGTGATATATTATAATTTGGTTCCAGAGATCAGTTGTGTTACTTGCTATCTAATCAATATACACTTGTGCCTACTGCCGCCTACTTTATCAAAACAGACACCTATTCAGAATAATTCTGAAAGCCCTGCCTTCGTAGAAGGGAAAAAGGCAAGAGACTGGAAACTGAAGGAACGGTAGGTGGAAAGATAGAAAAGAAGGAAGGAAGCAAGAAATTAAGAAAAGAAGGGAAAATGAAAATAAAGAAAGAAAATAAAAAAAGAAGAAAGGAGAGAAGTATGGAAAGAAAGAATGGATAATAAAGAAGGAAAGAAAGGATTGGGGTAAACAGGAGATAGACGGGGAGAAGGAGGGAGGGGATGTGCAAAGATGAAGGAAAGTGACAAGGTAGGTAAAGTGGAAAGAGGCAGGGATGAAAAGAGAAAGAACAGGGATGAATAGAAGTAGGAAAAAGATGAAATAAGGGATAAAAAAATGAAATAAGGGAGGTAAAAGATGAAATAAGAGAAAAAGATCAAACAAGGGAGGAAAAAGATGAAATTAGGGATGTAAAAGATGAAATAAGGGAAGAAAAAGATGAAATAAGGAAGGAAAAAGATGACATAAGGAGGAAAAAGATGAAATAAGAGAAAAAAGATGAAACAAGGGAAGAAAAAGATGAAATAAGCGGAAGAAAAAGATGAAATAAGGAAGGAAAAAGATGAAATAGGGGAGGAAAAAGATGAAATAGGGGAGGAAAAAGATGAAATAATGGAGGAAAAAGATGAAATAAGAGAATAAAAAGATGAAATAAGGAAGGAAAAAATGAAATAAGGGGAAGAAAAAGATGAAATAAGGGAGGAAAAGAAAGAAGGCAGGTAAGAAAGAAAGGAACTAAAGAGAAACAAATTATGCTATTTACTTACCATATACAGATATTGTTGCATAATCAATGCCATAATTACTCCCTGATGTCCCAGAACAATTATAATTACCAGAATCAGTGTAGTTAAATTGTGGAATATTTATGGTTCTTATCCATCCAAAGCCTGACGATGAAAATTCTGGCTGGAACTCTTGGCTTTGAACAGCTTCATATCCTTGATAAGTGCGTTTAATCCATGTTCTCTGAGGTCGGGTGATGGAGACTACAGTACAGGATATTATTATGCTTCGCCCAAGTTCGATTTTGTAAGTACCATCATTTCCTGGTTTGACCACAAAAGAATTGTCATCATGTAATGATATTTTGACGTCAAATTCATCTGTCAATGAAAATGTCAATACAGAGAATTATAAGAGTTATTAATACTTGTGAAATCATCAATAATTCATGAAGAAAATACAAAAAAATCATGACCATGAAGGAGTTCGTTTATCTGATGCAAAATCATGCTGACTTACATAACCTTTAAGTTCAATTTTCTCACCAAATATCATTCATTAATTTAAATTATTGAAGAATTCTCATCAAGACATTTCACAATTACATCCGATACAACACTGATAATATGTCACGTGAAGTGGCCTTATACCTGATAAAACTCATCTGCATTAGTATTCTTTTTATAAAGCTGAAAGCTCATCATAATTAGTATTCTTTATTAATGAAACGGCGTCTACTGTAATCGTATCTTATCATATTTAAAATGCTTGGGCTGCACCCTCGCATTTTAAATACGATAAAATATAACTACAAGTGCTATAAATAGTACTTCCACCAGCGCTTTAAAAGATATACTTATCTTTTGGAACTAGTTACAGTTACAGGCTCATAAAAGGAACTAGTTACCATTACAAATTAGTTACTTCACGGTTTTTGTAACCAGTTAAAAAGTTACTTTCAATTTTTTGTAACTTGTTACATTGATAGTGACAAAATTACTGTAAAAAGAAGTAACGCGTTATCGTTCCATTATAAGCCAAAATGTAACTAGTAGTTATAGTTACCTCTTTCAAAACGTAACTAGTTACTGTTACAGTTACTTTTTCGTTACTGGTAATGAAATTACTTACAGCACTGATTTCCACATCTGAAACTGGTGGCTCTGAAACTACCATAACTTTAGTTACGTGAGTAGAATTTTACATACCCGAGATCTTTGTCGAGACAAGAGAACTTTCCTGACTCCAAATAGTTACATCTCCGTAATCATAGAGTACAGCCACCGTCCAATTATACCCCTCATTAACTTCAAATTCATAATCGTTAATAATAAAAGACCCTGCGCCAGTGGAGGAGTTCCATGTCGTTTCATTAGATTGAAAGTAAGTTGGAGTGCTCGAGTTACCATGGTAGAATGAGATACGAACGCCTCTTGTTGGTCCTCCGTTACATCCAGGAGAATTCCACGTGACTTGAGCGCGACTGGTGCCGTTATGTGTCACTGTAACAGACTCGGGTGGATCGGGCTCTGAAAATTAAAAAATGTTATATATAAAGCACGAGTATCTGATCTGCATTTGTCATGCGTGACTATACCAGTGGTCCAGTGACCTCCAAATATATATGGAGCGAGAACTCGAGTTCAAAACATGAAGCCATCTTCGTGTTAACCGCGCAGTCAAAAACAATAGAAAGGGACTGGAACTGATGTACTATAGCTCTTCAATTTCCGCCATCTTAGCAACCTTGGCTGTTTCTGCCATATCTTGGCTGTTTCTGCCACAACATAAATAATTCTTGTTTTTCCTTGCTTTAGAGAGTGTAATTCTAGTCTATTTAATTTTTGAATATAGATACCGGGTGGCCCAAAAAAAAGTACTCCTGTTTGATTCGTAATAACATCTAAACAAGTATAGCTTTTAAAGAGAAATAACTTGCATCAAATAGAGGAAGGACTAACTTAGACTTTGATATATTACAGTTGTATTTCACTTAAAAATTCACGGAGATATTAATCTTTAAATTCGGGAGGATATTTCTGGATGTGTCTGAAATATGCAAAAATCGGCGTATCAAATATTAATCAAGATTTGCCCGACTGAAACATGCACTATTACCAGTAAATAAATGACACTTGACAAATTGTTTATTATGAAACAAAGTATTATTATATCTACAAAATACAAGCAAGATTCATTCGTCCGAAATTCGCGTGTGTTCCTAGCACGAATACGTTTCCTTATTTCATGAGACCACTGCATCGCGAAGGATCGTCATTGGATCGTTCGTAGTTCTGAATTAGGGCATGCTGTCACAACGGAATTGTGAAGCTCTTCTAACTTCTAACATAATTTCGAACGTTCATATTTCAGGAAACAATGAGCTAAGACTTACATGTAAGATGTCTAAATCTACGCCATATCCCTTACAAACCTTAACGATAATTCGCTGAAATACAAGTTAACCTAATATGTCATTAAGCAAACAAACGCTGGAGTTAATATTTGATATGCCGATTTTCGCTAATTTTAGACACATTCCAAAATATGCTCCCCATTTTTAACATTAATATCTCCGTGAATTTTTAAGTTAAATACAACTGTAATATATCAAAATCTAAGTTAGTCCTTCCTCTATTTAATGCAAGTTATTTCTCTTTAAAAACTTTACTTGTTTAGAAGTTATTACGAATCAAACAGGAGTACTTTTTTTTGGGCCACCCGGTATATCTTCTCGTTTTGTATTTTTACAGCCATTTTGTCGGTAAGAATTTTAAAAAACTTGCCCAGAACCAGCTCAAGACTACATTGCTAGAAACTGCCGGCGAACGTAACCAATTTAAAATTCTGAGAGCTAAAATGTATTTTAAGCCGCTAATTTGTTGATTTTAGGCCGCAAAATACGCCACAACGCCCGCTAAAACTATTCTGATATGCAGTAGCCTACATGTTTTTACTCACGTGTTAATCGAAGTGCTTCAAAATCATAGTATGAGATGTTCACTCCATTAGTCCTGACTTTGAAGCGATGTTGCCCAGTTTGCGAACATCTGCATTTATCATATACTCCAGTAAAAGAAATGTAAAAATTTTCATACAATCCAACATTCATTCGAGCTTCGCTGCGTACATACTGCCCAGTCAACCAGTCTTTTCTTTCTAAGGAAATCTCATCGTATGCTTCCCCAAGACCACGTAGGAAAAACTCAAATCTGGAATCATAGTTCACAATGAACTGACTTGACGAACCGTTGTGTTGCACATACATAAACGAACCTAAACAACAATAAAAATGAAGGTGAAAAAAATATTTACTATGTTATGCGTGTTAACAATGAAGGTGAAAGTCAGCAGTTTTGCACAAGTAAATATAACGAATCCTACATGTTGATTGGTTAAATTTGACGTATTAAGCTGTCATATTCACCTACAAATCTCGACTTCGTCTCGGTGAATATTCCCCGATAATTCACCTCACCTTCGGTGAATAATTGTTAAATATTTAGATATTCCATCGTAGGGTGTCATGGTCGTATTCAACGTTTCTTGATCAAAATTCTCAGCTGTATTGCTAAACGTGGAATTATTCTGGAGTGATGTCGGCGGTATACTGTAAGATGTACCGGTATCATAGCTCTCATTAGTTTATCTTTTATTTGAACAGCAAGAAAAGTTCACAAACGAAAAACGAACACAATGTATACGCGCGCGAAATAGGGGAAAGGTTAGACTTTAACATTTTAGAACATCGTTAATTGGCAAGTAAATCAGTAAAAAATAAATTTCACGACCGCAGCCGCGCAGCCGATCATATGGAAACAGCGATCGTTAAAATGGATAATTTTCTTGACTTGGCCTCCGCTTTTCCCAGCCGGTACGACCATATCCACATGACTATATAGTCGGTAAAGTATGCGAGTAAATGGCGATTGTCAGTCGCGCATCATGTACACTTCCAATCCAAACGCTAATCCTAACCCAAACCCTAATCCTAACACTAATCCTAACCCCTAACCCTAACCCCACCTCCTAGCCCCTGACCACTAACCCCACCTGCTAACCCCGCAACCTAACCGCAAACCCTAACCCCGGCCAGCTACCCCTCCGGGGAACTTTCCTCCCACCTACCCACCATCCACCAAGCAAGGACAGTTACACTTATAACTAAAACTTTTGTGGAGTGGTTACGGTTTACTACCAGGCTCAGCCATACGACGGTGCACATTTTCTTCGACTATCAGTCGCCACTTTTCCGAATACTTTAGCGACTATCTAGTCCGCATAAAATGGTCGTACCGGGTGCTTTTCCCGTCTCCGCCTGTGCGTCTTCCACACAGCGGTTCGATACGGTAAGCGCCATGTAAAGCTCATTGAAACCTCTGCGGAGGAGAGAGATAAACTGCACTAACTGTAGGCCAAACGGCGATATTTTAAAAATACCTTAAACGGTATTGAAATTTCAATACCGCCCAACTTTAACTAACACTCATCAATTACCTTGTATATTGAGGTACAATATTCGAGATAGTACACTGTCATTTCCAGACTTTACTTCACAGATGTATTTAGCAGCGTCATCGTCCTCGAATGGAAGAATTGACATTGTAGCTTGCCACAGGTTGGTTCCCTCAGATGGAGGGTCTGTTAGTTCTTTTAGCTGTTCTGTAGGATAAATAATCTTATCTTTCTTCAAAATTATTGTTGGTTTTGTTACTGAGGCAACTTTACATGCTATTGTGACGTTTATTCCTCGATTCAAAAGCCATCCGCGATCTGAGATGGATACGTTGGATGGCACTGCTGGTGCAGCTTCGAAAGTCAATGTTGAAGATATGAAAGAATCTGGAATATAAAGGACAGGTTTTCATGTTTATTTATTGCTAGTGGCGACTGTAAGCTAGAAACCGTGTTACCCAGGGTTTTTTAGGATATTTCGCTGGGTCCGTTTTTGCAGACAAGATTCAGTTTACCTAATCAGCTTGGGGTCTGGGGCGGTTGTCTCCCCCCCCCCCCCCCCCCCCGATGGGGAGGATAGGGTGGAACTTGGGGTGCCCATGGGCAAAGGCCCAGGAAGTTCCACAATTGCCCACAATTATCGCTCAAAATTGCTTTGAATTTGTGATGTGAAACCCTGAACGAATTGCGGCTGGTATATTCGCTTTTTCGTAGTTTGTTTGGTTTCCAACGGGAAAAATTATTTCCAAATCACAATTTTTTACTGCGCTGAAACGTCTGAAGGCCCAAACAGACCGGACGCGATTCGGCAAAGCGACGCGAATTTTCAGTTTTCAAAAACAAATAAAACCGTCAACGGATAAAAATTTTAAAAGATATGCTGACCAAATAGCTTAAATTGCTTAAAGTGGTTCCGAATATTTGAAAAGCATTGAAAAAAATATTAAAGTTAAGGTGGTTCGATATAACTCAAAAACCCTGCTCAAGAATCGCGAACTCAAAACCGGGTGACCATTTTTACGCGCAGGTCGCGGAAACTGATTAACAAAATCAAAGAACTTCCAAAATGACCTGACATGAGCAGTTGCTTGCGCCATATCACGCCATTGCGCGTGTTCTATAGCGTTTTATGTCAATTGCTGACGTCATTACAATTTTCCTTTTTAGAAAAACAATGCGTTATATCTCTTTATTTTGTCTGGTGACCTATGTTCAAATTTTGCACGCTGTGTATTGCACCGCTAAAAACTTTCATTATACAAAAAATAAAAAAATTCTGTAATGGCAAAAAAATTTTACCGAAGAATATGACATTTTCGCATTTTCCAAAAAATGGCATTACAGAATTTTTTTATATTTTGCTAATTGTTAGCTTTTTGTCCAAGTAAAATAATGCACGAAAAAAATGGGGGGTCACCATGCTTGTTTTCCAACTATACGAGACGATAGGCCATTTTGGAGTGAATTTCGTACACGTATGTCGTCATAGCAACGAACTATCTGTTACTAAAACTAATATAATTTGAAAGTAGAGTTATCAAAATATACAAAAACCCCAATATCTGCTAAATAAATCCTAAAAATGCGTAGTTTGAACATATCAAAGTGTTAAGGTTACAGAACACCTTTGAGTGTTAATTTTGCCTTAAAATTTTTTTATTAGTTTCCATGAAAGCATTAGACTAGTTCTACTATCTGACCAAGTTTGAACGAAAAATGTTGAAAACTCGCAGAGTTATTCAATAAAATACATTTCGCTGCAATAAGAAAAACATTGAAAATGTAATATTCAAATTCAATTTTCTCCCGAAGAATTTTACGGTAATTACTGATTTTCAAACGAGTTGTGCTCCTGCGGGTTTTAACCAATTTTTCTCAAATTTTCACAGGACATAGCTAAATACGTCAGTTTCAAAATTGTGTTCGGCTTTTTTTAAATTTTGGATATTTTAATAAAAATAAAGAGCAATTAACTCAAACAATTCAGAAATATATTGCAGTCGTCAAAGAAATCGCCATATCAGCGGAATGACGAAATAAACAAAAATTTCCGAACACTATTTTTTAGAACAACTATTTTACTGTATAAAAATGAAATTTTCATAAATATAACTTAAAACCAGCAGGAGCACAACTCAAAAGCGTAACCGTACCGCGATTTAAGATTTTCCTGAATAATTCTTACATTATCTTATTGTTTGTTAATTTTACAACTTTACCATATTTTGCATGCACTGACGAACATTTGGTGCCAAACATTTGATGAAAATCGGACTGATATTGAGCGCGCAGTAGCGATTTTCCGCAAAACGCCAAAAAAGGTGTCCTGTAACCTTAAACACCTGAATTTTTGAAAACTGTATCGAGCCACCTTAAATGTCAATGAAAACTGAAAATTCGCGTCGCGTTGCCAAATCGCGTCCGGTCTGTATGGGCCTTAATTAGATGATTGAGTTACAAAACTCGCCGTAAAAAAGCCCTGAGAGAAACCCTGGTTACCACGGCCAAAGATAGAAAAATACGGCAAAATAAAACGAACATGGATTAATAATTTGTATAAAGCCGTGCAAGTTTATAAAATAGAGTGTTGCTACTTACAGCAAACAGAATTTGACCCTATATATGCTGTAAGAAAGTTTGTAAAGTCTAGTTCGTGGAAATTGATAAAGTGATCGGTGAGGTTTTCATGTAATGGCAGATACAGGCGTGTAATGGCAACCTTATCTTGGTGCTATTCCCACTCTCCCGTAATGTGAGTGGGAATATGAGCATTTGCTGGCACTCAATAGTTAGTAGTTGGCCTTCGCTTGAAATCTCGAAATGTTTTGAATGTAGATAAAACCAAGGTAGATGTAAAACCACGTTAGATGACTTAATCCATATGAAACCAGGTAAGAGGGAAACTCACCTACTAAGTGAAATCTGCATGCCCTTTCCAGGGGGAGCGCATTAGGAGGGGGTGGTGGTTTGGGAGGGGGGTTGAACACCCCCAGTCGAAATTCACATGAAGTCGGTCTCGATTTTCTTTGAAAGCGTATCAACAGCCGGCGCCAATTTTCTGCTATAACAGTTATTTAATCTACTCGTCACAAATGTTTATTGCAGAGAACAGGAAAGTCGGTGCCAGATCGCCCCCAACCCCCAGCAATTTGTCGAATGTGCACCCCTAGCCCTTTCTTAAGGCATACAAAATTCAATTTGTGTTCAAATGAGACCAAGCCAGCCCGGCAAAGCGAGATCTCACATTGGGCTAGGTGGGATCTTAGCCAAGTGGTGGAAGATAATTTTCCATATGAAGGCTTTATTCCACCCGACCGGGATGGATCTTTTTTGCTGATTGCGATCAAAACCAGAGTGTTGAAAGAATGATTGGAAAATACAAATAAAAGATAAACATTAATAGGCATGAATAGACACTATTAGAGTCGTAATACAAGACCACTAACCAGGAATTGTGAATTTAAAAACAACACTATCATCACTGATAACAACCTCATTATTAACAACGTAACGCGTGTTGACTTTAAATTCGAATGTGGCATTAGGTGGGAAAAGGATTGAAGCGATTACATGAGAACTGTCTTCCGTAGTAGCATGTAGAGTCCATTCTGTTGAGCTTGAAGTCCGGTAATATACCAAGGTAGTGAGGGGGAAAGTCTCAAAACAACCAGCATGTGACCACGTGATGTTCACGCCACCATTATCTGCCAGGCTGACATTTGTTAGAGTGGGCTGAAGATAAGGATCTATAAAGAATACGATAGTCATTGAATTAGCGGTGGTGTAATTTAGCGCTTGCCCGAGGGCAAGTAAAAATCGTTAAGGACAGCGGTCATTATTTATGGCGGGGAGTGGTCATTATTTATGGCGGAAAGTGGGAGCGGTCATTATTTATGGCGGAAAGTGGGAGCGGTCATTATTTATGGCGGGGAGTGGGAGCGGTCATTATTTATGGCGGGGAGTGGGAGCGCTCATTATTTATGGCGGGGAGTGGGAGCGCTCATTATTTATGCCGGGGGGTGGGACGGGAAAGAAAAGAGTTGGTGAACAAAATTTTGAATGAGTAATAGGATGGGTAAATGAAAAGCAAGGGTTGGGTAATAAAAAATATTGTCATTTTCAAAGCATGACGCACTTAAACATTGAAGACTAAAAAGCAATGTCAACAGTCATATGTTAATTAATACAATATGTAAATCAATCAAAGGGGCTATCTTGATCATTTTCCAGTTTGTCAGGAGGCAAATGGTATCTCCAAAGAAAGTGCAGACAACATGGCACTTTACACTGCCGAAAATTGCACAAGCAGTTATCAAACTCATGTCACAGAAGTGGTAAAGGACATGTGTGACAACTGAATAGTATCCTTTTGTAACGTTTTTGACCAAGGGTGGGTATTTATATTTTAGCTGATATTTGAGGTTGAGTGAAATTTTTTTTACTTTTTAATGGTTGGATCAGCAAAAACATATTTTCTGCAAAATGACGAATTTGTCGGCAAATTATATTCGTAGTCGGGAAAACATGATTGAATAGGAAGGAAAAGAACTAAAATATTTGAGTGACACTGATTAAAAAATAATAGCCTAAAGTGAATAAAAAATATAATTTCCGAAAAATATTGTTGTCCCTTCCCCCCCCCAAAAAAAATCCGATACTACACCCCTCCCCCCAATTTTAGGCTCTTCGCGAAGGCCCTGCTGTTCTCCCAAGAGGTTCACTAAGTGTCTTATTGATCCAGTTTTGAGTACTACAGGGAGAAACCTAAACTAGACTAACTTTATTCGTATACTGGATAGCCGTATTAGTTCTAAACTGTTTTTCATAGAGTTCCAGTATAGGCCATCCTTTTTTATTACAGAGAAGAAATGAATGATCCTTACTGCAGACTTGAAGGCTGACGTCATCCAAGGCAATTACCATATTTGCCGTAAGGGTTAGCTAGAAAAGATTTACATGTGTAAATAAGTTTTGAAGCCTTCTAAGGGGCTGTTTATATGGAAGCGAGCCAGCCCTGGCTCGCATCCCTGAGATGAATTTCACCACGCGTTTACATGAAACTTACATGAATGGCATAGTACAAAACATGGACTGGACTGGACTGGACAGTTGGACTGGACTGGACTGGACAGTTGGACTGGACTGGACTGATTTTTACATTTTCTCTATTCTTGCCATGCACGTCACCCGCCATGTCAGGTGGCATGGCACAAAAGAATATTTTATCACAGAATAGATATACCATGTCAAGTATTTTGTGATTTTATCAATGAACATTGTCTGGTGTGTACCAGGAGGAGATTGGTTGCAAGTCAAGAATATAACGTTTTGCACCTGAATTACTTTTGATTTTCGGAAATTGAAATACTTTACCTTCGCCGATGACCTCACTTTATAACTGGAGTGAAATCTCTTAAAGCGCGAAAGAAACCCCAGTAAGTAGAATAGAATACAATACCAAACATAAACTACTTATCTGTCTTTGCTATGGGTAGCCTGCTCGCATACGTATTAAATTTCGATATTTCAGTCTGCATGGCCATGGGCATAGAAAGATAGATAATTGGCAGGGGGGGGCAGGAGCTCATATTCATATATTTGTGGTCTGCATCATTAACTTCTTTTGAATTTGATTGTTTTTACAGTCTGCGAACATGAATATATGAATATGAGCCCCCCCCCACAAGATCTTCTTACGATCATGGCAATACGTATCCGAGCAGGCTACAAAGTAGTTTATGTTTGGTATTGTATTCTATTCTTCTTAGGGGCCGACCATTAACTTTTGAGGGGGATGGGGGAGGGGGTGATTTCCTGCAAGGCTATTCTGAACAAAAGAAAATGCCTGCACTAACAAACTGGGGGAAAAAATATCCTGCCCCAGTATTTGGTGGGGGAAAAAATGTTGCAAAATAACATGGTTGCAGGGATCGATTTGACCAGTCCCAGAAGATCAGCTGGTTTGATTTTCGGAGACTATAGTGTAAGGTTAATTTCTTGTTGGAAAACTCTTGAAAATGCTGGAAATAGCTTATCTGAGCTTCACAAAATCCACAATTTTCTGGGGGGGGGGGGCATGCCCCCAGACTCCTGTAGAGGCTTGCACCTTCGGTGGTCGACTCGGTTGTCTCAGAATCCTAGTTAATATTGGCCTGATCTGCTGCCCTATGATGTATACTTATTAGTTAAACCATGCATATATATATATATGCTGGTAGCTGCAGTGATACAGACTTGCCGACTGGAACTTCTCCAGGTCCCCACTAAATATGTCCCCTCCAGTTACACATCCGTAAAGAGGCCCTGAACCAAATCTTATACCTCATAGCAATATGTATTATTAAAAGCAATGCATGAAGCTAGAAAACGCAACGTTAACTATTATTAATTAAAGAATCTAAATAGTATAAGCTATTGAAAAAAGAATGCTGCGAAAGAGAGAGTGGCAAAAAATATCGTACATGGTGATGGGATAGGGGGAAAAAATCTTGCACATAACGATCCCATATCAAGAAAAAAATTTCCTTCCAGCAGTAAATCTCCAACCCCCTCCCCCCCTCAAAAGTTAAATAATCGGCCCCTTACTGGGGTTTCTTGAGATTTCACTCCAGTTATAAAGTGAGGTCATCGGCGAAGGTAAAGTATTTCAATTTCCGAAAATCAAAAGTAATTCAGGTGCAAAACTTTATATTCTTGACTTGAAACCAATCTCCTCCTGGTACACACCATGGTATATTTATTCTGTGATAAAATATTCTTTTGTGCCATGTCACCTGACATGGCGGGTGACGTGCAAGTCAAGAATAGAGAAAATGTAAAAATCAGTCCAGTCCAGTCCAACTGTCCAGTCCAGTCCAACTGTCCAGTCCAGTCCAACTGTCCAGTCCAGTCCAACTGTCCAGTCCAGTCCAACTGTCCAGTCCAGTCCAACTGTCCAGTCCAGTCCAACTGTCCAGTCCAGTCCAGTCCATGTTTTGTACTATGCCGCTAGATTGTGGAGAAAACACTGCAAATTCTTCAGGAAACTTTATATCATATCCCAATGTTCGCGATCGAACCTCGCGTACGGCGCCACGGCGGTTCAAAAAAACTTCCTGAATACCGCTTGGAAAAAACAAGTTTACATTATCTTCTTTTGAAACATCACATCCAAGTTTCGTTTTGGCTTTTAGAACTCTTTTTATGCTTTCAACTAAACCAAAGTTCACACTTTTGTTTCAAAAAACAGTTCCATATAAAACACAACGTTCGTTCGTATTTTGAAGTCACACTTGTTTTAGTTTACATATATACGAAGAACGTAACCACCGGAAATAAAACCCTAGGGAGCCACCTTAAATTCTTTGCAATTCTTTGATAGTTTACTGTATCTATCCATATTTTTTTGTTTTTATGTGCAAAAAATTGCTTAGGCACTCAAGAGTATTAAATCGTGACATGTAAATTTTTTGTTTTTGCTCATTTGCCATATCACATTTTCCCTAAAATTCATTGCCTGTTTGAATCCTATGATTAAATATGATTTGTTGGCTGAAGTCAGCACTCTAATGTGATTGGTTGAAAGAAGGTGCGATTTCAGCATGAATCGCACTGCTAGAAGTGCGATTCGTGCTGAAATCGCACACCTGTGAACCAATCAGATTGCAGGAAACACCATTGATTTCAAAATGAATATAATAAAGCCGTTAATTACTTTAACGATAATAATGCTTGTTGTTTTGTGTTGTATTATTTTGAAACATTTTTTGACCGTATGCGTGCAACATCTTTGCCTGGAAATTTGAAATGATTTTGTTTTATAACTTGAAGTGAAGTAAATGTCAAGTTGCCTAGTGCAACAGAAAACCCGGTCTCAAGAGATTCGATTTTATGCTTTCGGGTTTCCCCCGGAACACATGAAAGCAGAAAACCATGTCATAGTCTATGGTCACAGAAAACTCTTTCTATGCATGTTCTATAATTTAGCATTAATAAAACCGCATGATGCAATAATTGGTCACGAGCATGAATTCGATAGTTTCCGTCAAAACAGCAATACCTTATATTACGTTTATGCGCGCTAAGTAATAAAAGTCTGTCTCTTATAGGGCTTCGGTGGCGAAATCATCAGAGCAAGCCTTTCCAACCTCTATAATATCGTGGGTTTGATTCCAATTGTGCGCGTTCTGATATCCATGTGAAAAGTGTCTGTTAACGCTCTTTGGAAAGTCGTGGGTTTACTCCTGATACTCCCGTTTCCAACCAAAGGGAATATTAACAGGGTTGAATTGGATTATCCCCTAAGCTGGGATTAACCCTAAACGAAACCTTCCATTGCAGTTGTGCTCTCTGATCAGGCATGAGTCGTAAGGTGCCTGCCAGAGGCGCCCCTACAAAGCCTTCCGCTCGATCACATATTGAGCTGCGTCCTTCGCAATTCTGCTTAGCTCTCAGCTGCAAACAAGAATTTATGGGGCTTCGGTGGTCAAGTGGTTAGCGCACTTGCCTTTCACCTCTGAGGCCGCAGGTTCAAACCTCAGTGAGAGCTTTCGCAATGAGGGTAAAAGTCAACGCTCTGCCGAAAACCGTTGGTTTCCCCCGCGTACTCCGGTTTCCACCTACAGGGAAAGTTGACAGGGTGGGTTAGGAAAAAAGGGCCCACAGTAATCGGCACATGCTGTTGTGGTGACCCTGCCCTTGTTGGCAAAGCTAAATAAATAAATAAAGCATAACAGCACTAATTCAAATGTCAAAACAAGCACAGATTTTATCGGATTACTCTGAAATGTCGTATTCTGTATTGTTTTAAGGGTATTCACACCGAAGTATAAAGTTACATATTTGAAAGAATTTATTTGTTGCGATTTTCTTGAGGTGTGTAATATTTTGATTGAACGAAAAATGTCATTGCATATTTTCATCCTTGTGCTTTCGTACCATGCATTTTACATTACTTAGAGGTAAGAGTTCGCTGATATAAACCAATGCAAAATCAGATTTATACAAGATTTTGACATTTTGCGGCCGTACGAGAAAGAGTTTTCAGAAAAGAGCATTAGATACATAAACCACGAACGGGAATAATGTCCGGGTTTTTTCTTTCGCTATTCAATTTCGTCATCTACAATTCCGTGTGTCACTTGAAGAGTAACAAGCGTTGCTGATAAGCTCCAATGTCCGCCCCGATTACTAGCAAGCTGTCTTATGTCAGCATGAATAACACGTAGCGGTATTCAACATAAGGGAACCATGACATCAGCAGATGTCGTAATCTACCAATTCAAATGTTAGTATTTAGACTACTCCAGGTCCTTGGATAAATTAATTCAACGGATTGTAATTTTTATCCGTAAGATAAACGTATCCAAGCTTCGTACTACGCGATTTTTACTCTGGATAAAATTTATCACCTGGATAGCGACTTATTCTACGGATATAAATTCACCTTTCGTACAGCCGTACAACCGTACCAAAACGATGGATTTAGAAATATACACTAGAAATTTTTTGTATTAAAGAAACCGAGAAGTAGGTTAATATGACGTCATAATGGCGTAACCACGTGTTGCTATAATACCAGAAGTTGTAGTTCAGTATTTAATTAGCCAATTGAAAGATGACGAGAGGACTGGGGACGAGTGTTAGAAGGTGCCCGAATTAAGAAATTAACCAAATCATTAAAAAGTCCACCTCCAAACTAATAAGTATACAAAGGTTGAAGGCGTTGAGATGAACTTTTCTCCACGTCCCTTCGCCAGATAAAGAAGACCACAAAGCGTAGTCTGGATAGTGTTAAATTGTCTTGACGTAGATGTTTATTTTTAAAATGCTTTTCACTCACAAAAAATTAGCAACTGGGCAAATCTCAATTCAGTCATTCAGCTGCGACTTCAAATACAATCCGGTCTTCGAAAACAAATACTATTTGAGCGGTCATTTCAACCTGTCGATGTCACGTTTTCCAGCTGGTTTCTTCACTTTGTGCAACATAGGCAATGTTTAAGTGCTTTTCAATCGCCATAGTCGCTCAGAACAAAATAATTGCCTTTTTGTCACACATTTTTATTTCTTTAAAACAATTTTTTTTCGCTGTCTTGATAAATTTTTAGTTTTCCTTATTTATTACACTCTAGCGCTTCTAAGCTTAGCCAGTCAGAATTCAGCACGCGACTTAAGCGAGTCAATAGTATCTCTTTATTGGTATAGATCATGAACGCGTGATATTTGCAAAATTTCGCCTTCCAAATGATTGGGGGATAAAAATAAACTGTATACCTGTTTAATTCGGGAATTTTTTCAATTTTATTATGTAAAACTTGAAAATACATGCATGCAGATACCCTCGCCTTGCTGACGGAACCATTGTATTTTCCAAGCGTGAAGTATTTAAAGTAGTTGTCATGGTAACACGATAATTTTTTAAGAATATTTTTACAAATGAACAATCCCCTAAAAATATCACTTTTAATTACAAAATTATCAATTTTCCAAACATATATATATATGTTAGGTATGTTATTATACGTAATGTAAGCTTCAAGTTAAGGTAAAATTCAACCACAAACGCTTCGCAAAACATTTTGAAGTGTTCTTTTAATATAGAACTAAACTGCCTTTATCGATAAACTTTGAGTTCGAAATAAAATGATTCCAAGTTCTCCTATACAAATAACTTTGCTTAGTATAATAAAAAGGGTAATCAATAAAGAAACACTGAAATATAAATACGCTGTCTTGTTTCATATTTATACGCAACGATCGGCTTTTAAAGTAGTTACAGTATATTAAAAGCAAACAATTAATGCATCAATATTTAAAACAAACTGACCTCCCTTAACGTTGGCACCTTTACTCCCTTCTTTTAGCAATTCTTTTGCCTTTATTTCATCAAAATCTTTCGAAATTTACAAAATCTTGCACAAATGAAATATATTTGCAAGAAATCATCAAATCAATTTCTCTGTCGTCATGAAGCCGTTATAATGCCAATTTTAAAGTGGACCAATCAGTGTTGGCTATTCATGACAGTCCGCTACATTATGAGGTCAGTGAGGATGACTACCCACCGAAACACGCACAGTGACCCATTCCCGCGGTCATTGATAAACTTTAGACTTCGCTAATGGTTTCGTTTCCCCTGGTGTAAATAGCCTGGGGGACTTAGTACCCTCGCACGGCGCTTCGCGCCGTTGGCTCGGGACAAATAGATTACATTTTTCTGTTGTCTGTTCAGTTATAGATATACAGTATGAAGTCATATGTGGCAAGAACAAAAAGTGACCACTCGCTTAGGCGGCTCGTAGACACTTTTTTGTTCGTACCATATATGACGTCATACTGTGTATCTATAACTGAACAGACAACGGCTAAATGTAATCTATTTGTTAAACTGATTTTAACAAGTACCAATATTATGACAAATGTGGCGCAGATTATTTAATAATGAAGTGTTCAAGAATATTCTATTTGATTTAGCGGCATTATTTCACAAAATATGTATAAAAAGTTTCATTATATTTTCATTAGCAACGATATTCGAAACAAAATATATATTTAGATAAATACGACTCATTCAAAGTAGTATAGCTAATGCACAATATATACACTCAACACAGTCACCACGTTATTTAATACACTTGATATCGTTCCGGCTCGCATATATGTCACTTGGTAGCTGTTAGTATAGGTAATAGCATGGTTTCGAGTGCAATTTGGATATAACATGCACGAGTGAATTTTTCAAATACCTCGAAATAGCACGAGTCCAAAGGACGAGTGCTATTTGAGGTCTTTGAAAAACTCACGAGTGCATGTTTATCCAAATTTCACGAAAAACCATGCTATTACTTATTAATAATTTACATAAAAATGTTTGAGACAATTGTAGTTTTAACTTACTCGTTAATAGCGAACATTCCACCGGCAAAATTTTCCTAGCTTTGTTATATGACATTATGCAACGCTAACAGCTTGAAAATTCCACTCAACTATTTAATTTTTGTTAGTCTTGTTTAAGGTCAATGCTTTTCCATTTAAAAATAAAGATAAAGCCATATTTTTCACGCGAAAGCAACTTTTACTTCACTGTAGCGCGGCGCCATGTTTGTTTTGTTTTGAAGCAATCTGTGACCGTTAAATTCTTTAAACTAAATTGCTTTAAACTGATTGGTTGATTTAATCATCACAATGTTTTTCCACCAATCAGATCAGTTTGTTACAGATTTTTGCACTGTGATTACAGAAAATTGCACTGTGATTACAAAAAATTGCACTGTGATTACAGAAAATTGCACTGTGATTACAGAAAATTGCACTGCTGTTTGGGATTAACTGCACTGAAATCAACCAATCATAGTCGAGTAATATCTTTATGTATATTATTACACCGATAATAAACAAAATTACAACAAATAACAGAGCCAACACGATATTCTATTCATTTCTACATACCGGGTTATTCTGAACATCGATAAAAAACACCCAGCCTTGATCATCATATACTTCCTTGTTATTCTTGCCAGAAGTGTTGCTGAGTTTACAGTTTACTGATGGACTGTTTGTACCATATTTGTATTTAAATCCAACACATGATGGCTCTTTAAGGCAGTTAAATGAACACTCGAGTTGAGAATGAACATTGTGAACGGATATAATCTCTGCCAATGTCAACACTGGAACTGTTAAAATAATTATATCAGTCAGTCAGACCAGTCGGTCACTCACTCACTCACTCACTCACTCACTCACTCACTCACTCACTCACTCACTCACTCACTCACCAACTGGCAGAAACTCTGTCACAGTTAGGTTCTGACGATTGGGGAAAAATATCAGATATATCATTAGTTGAAAACGTGGCTAACGAAGGGCAAAACAGCGACGAAGTTTGCGAAATCTTAAAATTTATCGAAGACACCGAGAGAGACATTGCAGCAAAGTCGACTGAGTATGTGAAGGGTATATTAACAAGAGACAAAACAGCAAACCTTTATAAAAGAAGGGAGAAGATCTTGGACTACTGTAAAAGTAAGATTATAGAGTGTCCAAAAGAGAAACTAGTAAGACGATTAAATAGAACTGGCGGCCGATCTGCGAACGAAAAGCTTGCATGTGATATTATAGCCTTGGTTAATTTCTACTCTTCAAGGGAAATTACGGCAGAGTTTAACGATATGTTTAGAAAACCCCTTTGTGATAATACACAGGATATTCTAAAATAATTAGATAAAGAAGAGACAAAGCAGCTTATGACATTTATCGAAAATTTTGATGTTAAGGTTAGTGAACTACACAGCAAAAAATCAATTTCTTAAGAAAAATTATTTTCTTAATTTAAGAAAATATTTTCTTAAAATGATCAACTTATTTCTTAAGAAAACTTCTTTTCTTAATTTAAGAAAATGTTTTCTCAAAATGAGAAAATCATTTCTTAAGAAAAAAATTATTCTTAATTTAAGAAAACTGTTTTCCTAAAATGAGAAAATTATTTCTCAAGAAAAATTACTTCTTGTTTTAAGATAACTGTTCTCTTAAAATGAGAAAATTATTTCTTAAAAAAATATTTCTTGATTTAAGATTCCGTTTTCTTAAAATAAGAAAATTATTTCTGAAGAAAAATACTTCGTATATAATATAGTTAATTCCACCATGGATTGTAAAACAACTATATTTATTTTATTATCCATGATTCCACATATAACTGTTTTCTTAAAATTCCACATATAACTGTTTTCTTATAACTGTTTTCTTATTTCCTCTAACTGCATGCGAACCTCGTTTTTTCAACATAACTCATAAGACGTTTTCTCTTGAAAATATATACATTAATTAACCGTTTCTTGATTGATGGAATGATTAATTTCCTCAATGCAGATTATCTTGCAATATTCTTGAATTAAGTACAAATTGCACCATGCATGCACATGCATATTACGATTTTTAATCGTTATAGTTTCTATATAATTTTTTATACACACAATAATTTCAACCGATCAGGTGTTTCTGTTGTTATTCGGACTCCATATTGTAGTATGAATCGCAATCACATGGATCTCAGCATTTTCATAAAAAGTAAAACCATAATAATTGCCATAATAAGCCAGAGCTTAGAGGACTCTGGGTCTCTCCTCCGCAGAGGCACAGCAGAGGCTTTAGTGAGATACATTTCACTACACTTTACATGGCGGATCTTTGAACACAAGCGTAGCCGCTGGGCGAAGGAGCGCAGGCGACTCTGGGTAAGACGCAGCAATTTGAACTTTGATCCTTCGGCGGTTTGACTTTGGAACAAAGAGCTTATTGTGTAAATTATGGTCGTTGAAAATGTTAATTTTGGACACCTAAACGCATCTTTACTTGGCCAAATTACTTCTGAAGGCATTAGTCAGGTCTCTTATGACTTAATATGGGTCGGAGCGTTACAGAAGTGACAAAAGCGCCAAATTTGGCAGAGATGTTCATTAGGACCTACTGATTAATATTAGAGGGGGAGCCCAACGCAATCTTCACCGTACAAGTATTAACGGGTCTTATAAAATTTACCTTAATTACGAATTGGGCTACTGTGTTGTTTTGCAGTTTTCATCTAAAACAGCTAACAAGAAATGCAGTAGTGACATTTATTGACTGAAACCATTATGCTTACTCGTTTTTTCGCATATTTCATTATGAGACATCATTTATATATTACATAAGGTTTTTAGATATATACTAGTTCCCAGTCCCTTCTCGGTAAGAATAATCAAATTTCAACTTTAACGCCATATAGAGTTGTTTTTTTCATAACGGAAACAATGATCGATCGCTGAAACTCTTCAGATTATCATTTAACCTTCATGCAGTTACTTTTAGGCATCTGCAAAGGCATCTGCAAAGGGGGGTGCATACCAAGGAAGCCTTGGCACACTTGCATCGTGTACACGCGCCTTTGCAAGAGCATTTTATGAGCTCACTACAAGCCTTGGATACTTCGAGTATGGTGATCCATTTCGGAACCCATTTGCCATCGTCTTCAGACCACGAGAACTGCCCTGGTGATGGCACATGTGGCTGTGGCTGATCGCTGACTGTGCAGATCCCGGCCTGGAAAACGGCGCGACGAACATGCTGCAAAAGGGCATCCTGCAAATAACAACAGTGTCGATGTTATTAAGGATTAGTTAGGAAGAGGTTGGTACTAGTCTCATAGAAAGACGGTTCGTTGTGAATAGTACCAGTTTAAGGGCTAGGTAGCCTTGAGCCCTTCCCCTAATGTCCGCCCCTGTTAGGTGAAACCTAGAAAAATTACGATAAAGAAACAAGTAATATTTACCTGTGTAGGCGAGAGCTTGTCCATTGTTCTACCGTTCTTGCAGAATAACTCCATCCGGGTCAGGTTGATATCAGATAAGGGACTGAGCTTATCGTACATGATTACCGTGTATCTCTCGATCTGTTTGAAGAGGGGCGAGTCTGTCGTAAGTTGCATAAATGGCGTCTTGGCAAGCATTTCGAATGTGGGCGTGACCTCTGGAAAGATCTCCCATGCCTGCCAAGCCGACTTCTTTCCTTTCACGAAGAAGCCGGAGGTGGTATCACATCCAGTTAATGCGTGGAATACAGGCAGAGAAGTAGATCGTGGTTAACCAAGAATAGCACAAATGGAGTTGACGCTGATGAAGCGAAAGTTTCGACCCATACCAAAGGCAAGCCACAGATCAAGTTCCGGCTGGACTTCTTTCAGGTCATGAAGCTTTCCCACCAAGATGACTAGGACATCGGTATCCACGGTTCGGACGAGGACTGTTTTTGCCTCTTCAACTTGGATGGCATGAAGGATATGGACCACAATCCTCGTATCCGCCTCTTCGTGAGTACAATCTGTCATTGCGGTCGCAGAGCCAATGGAAATCACAGAAGTACCTGGAGAAAAATTATTTCGGTAGTTAACATTTTTTATGTGCGTTTATGTCTTAGAAGAACACTTAGGAGGCTTGCTTGTTCAAAAGATTTGTTAGTTAATTAACTTTGTTGTATGACGCCTACAACATAATTTGGTTGAATATCATAGCTGACATATGTGTTGCATGTTTACCTGATGTAACATGGATTGTCTTCCTCTCTGGCCAGTTATGTCTAGCAACCTTCAACGATAGGAAGTGAAACAACTCTTCTTTGTTTAACGGATCACGCAGGAATGACACCCAGTTGGATGGTAGTTTAGTACCCCCATCTACTTTCCGTCGAACGCCTTTGCCTCGCTTCTCCCTGGTGGACTCCTTGAGACTATTAGGTATGTATGTGTCCCAGACGACGTCCACTCTTGTACTTCTCTATCTGCTGAGGTGTGGAATGAAGACGTTATGGGCGTAATCATCAAAGGTGTTCGAACCAGTTACGGGGAGGCAGTGGACCACGACAGCTCCGTCTAGAACACTGCAGTCAAATTGCGTGGGAGGCTCTGCCTGAGTCGATGGAATAAGGCACTTGAGATTGCCGAATTCTGATAAGGAGGGAGGGAATGGTTGAACTTCATGGCTGAAGAACTCCTCGAGGTCAGCATTACGGCTCTGCATGGCTATGTACAGCTGTGCAAAGAGTGCAACATTATTTTGGAGTGCAGCTATTTTCTTCGTCTGTTTAGATTTGTTTCGCAGGGGTCGGTTCTTGTAAAGGGGGATATTGTTCCTCTTAATG